CCCCACCCGGGCCTCCCTCTCAGTGGTTGGAGGAGCGGGTGCTCTGTAAACCGGAGAGTCATCGTGGATAGTACCGGGGAATTCCTCTGCGTCTCTGGGCCTCACCTCCAGCCACCCGCAGGCGGCAGTGCCCTGCCTGTGCGTCATACTCCTCCAGGTCGCTGGCACAGAGGCACAGGAAGGAGCCCTCCACGTTCTCGCAGAGCGCCGCCCCGCACACCGCCAGCATGAGCTCACACTCATTCACGTCTGCGGCACAAGGAAGGCTCGTGAGTGTGAAGGGGAAACCCAGGCCCTGCCCCTGACTCCAGCCCACCCCCCCCAAGAAGCAGGCCAGGTCTCTGGGAAGGGGGGAAGCAACCTGGGCATGAGTGGCAGGCAGGAAGAGATTAGAGGGGGCAGGAGAGGGACACAGAGGTGGCCAAAGGAGGGCTGCCCTCTGCACACTCTCCAGACCCTCCGCCCCCTGAGGCCAAGGGCTCCAGAGAAGTGCTGCACCTTCCTAAGCGTGCCGCTGCCTGCTGGCAGAGCTGGCCATGCTCCCCTGTCATCCCTCGAAGTGCCCCTTGAGTGCCTTCCACTCCCTTGACGCACCCCTTGTCCGCGCTGTGGGGACCTGTGTTGGAACCCTGTGGCCAGGGTCCTTCCTGTCCCTGCCCACACCTCAGGGAGCTCACAGTGCCTCACCCACACAGTCCCAGCCTGAGGGTGCGATCTCAAAGCCCTGGTCACAGAGGCAGCGGAAGGAGCCTTCGGTGTTGTCACAGAAGCCATGGCTCCCACACACAGTGTCATTGGCACACTCGTCTACATCTGTGGAACAGCGAGTGTGGTGTGGAAAGGGTATGTGTGCGCTCTGGTGGGAATACTTACTTGATCTATGGCATCAAGATCTGTGAAAAGCAACCCCACGCCCAGGACAGGAAAACCCCAACATTAACACTCCTTTTCCATCTGTTTAAGTTCTGCTGCATGGAAAATGAACACACTTCCATCAGCTGCAGTGTCCTCAGGAGAAAGCCATTTCTAGCTCAGCCCATGAGAAGCAGGTGTCCTCCACCTACCCCTTCGACTGCCCCTACCTGCTCACCAATGCAGTCTCTGTTCAAGGCCATGTGGAAGCCAGGCTGCCAGCCCAGGACATAGCGGTAGGAACCAGGGCTGTTCTCGCACTGCCAGGCCCCACACACTGGGTCTCCATAGTCCTCACACTCGTCAACATCCGTCCCAGAGCCACGAGAAGGGACTGAGTCACCGCTCTGTCTCCACCTCGCTGGCATGGCAGCGTGTGCCCCACAGGCCATGGACCGCGGTCTGCCATATCCCTGTGCTCATCACCAACCAGTACACCAGCATCAGATGACCCTCACCCCCGGGGCTGGACCCTGGGAAGAGTTGTGGCCATGCTGGAAGCACTGCACTCTAGCCCTTGGGGACACTTCTTTTCCTCCACCCCCACCTGTCTCCCTTATACAGCATAGTGTATCCCAGAAGCTGCCTCATATCTGTCTTCCTTGTCAATTTCTAGATGGTCTACAGCTGTCTACTCACCCTAGCCAAAAGACACTGCACACAGCAAGTGTCTAATACATGTATTGAATCTATTTGGCTTTTGAAATGAGATTGTGTACAGAGGTTAGACTCCTCTTCGTCTTGTCACCTCAGACAGCCCTTGAGCCAGCTCCATACTCAGTACATGCACAGGACAGTGCCTATGTGGAACACGTGCTTCTCACAGGTGCAGAGACGCATAGGATCTCCCAAGCCCTTACCCACACACTCCCCACTCTCTGGGGAGGGCTGGAATCCAGGCTCACACAGGCAGTGGAAGGAACCCTCAGTGTTGATGCAGGACCCTCCCAAACACAGGTCTGCAGTCACACATTCGTCCACATCTGAAATAGAGATGCTGTCAGCAGGTCCTGCTCTGGAGCCTTCCCTGCTGAGCCCAAGACGCCCACAAGAGGCCCAGGCAGGAAAGGACTGGAAGGTTGAGGGAGAATCCAGAGTTGGAAGCCAGAGCCAGGCTAGGGAAGGGTCCGTGGAACTGGGTTCTATCAAGGGAGAAGTGCATACTGGCCACTGTTGAGTCCCTGGTGAGACCTAGGTCTGAGCACCCAGTTCCTGTACCACCCCTGCCTCCCGCCCCCCCTTTCCTGGGCAGGCCTGAGCATCCTATTTCAGCACTGATATTAAAGTAGACCCCAGAGGTCACCTTCAGCACCCCTGTGGCTTCTCACCCTCACAGCTGGTGCCCCCCTCTGTGCTGGCAAAGCCGGGTGTGCACAGGCAGAAGAAAGAGCCGTGGCTGTTGAGGCACTCGCCGCGGCTGCCACAGCGCTCCCCCTCCATGCACTCATCCATGTCTGCAGGGAGAGATGGGCATAGGTGTCTCTGGGCTGACTCTACCCCCACCTACTCACAGTGCCATGGAATAGCTGGGAGCCCTGAGGACACTCACCCTCACACACAGTGCCGTTGGCTAGCTGGAAGCCCTGGGGACAGACACACTGGTAGGAACCTGCCGCATTTCTGCATTCGCCTCCCAGGCAGCTGCTCTGGGGGTCTTCACACTCGTCCACATCTGCAGGGCCACAAGGGGAGAGAGGTGGCCAATGGTAGGACCCTCCCCCCCAAGGACAGGTACCATGGGGCGATCTCCAGAGCACCCACCACCTGCCTGCGGAGCCAGACCCATAGGGGCATTGATCATCCCTCCCAAAGTGGCCCAGCTGGGAGAAGCTCATGAGCCTCTGGGGACAGGTTGAGGCAGCTCCTTCCATGGCTACCCCTGCAGGCTGGCCTTCTCCACTGCCCAGAAGGAGGCGCGCATGCCTGTACTCTCTCCCCGATGGGGGGCTCGTACCTTCACAGGTGTCGCCCAGGGGACTGGACTGGTAGCCCCCACCACAGTCCTTGCAGGAGAAGGAGCCGATGGTATTGGTGCAGACCCCCGAGGGGCAGACTCCCGGGAAGGCACACTCATCTAGGTCTGTAGCAGACACAGCCAGTCGCCCAGGGACCCAGAGGGCTCCACTCCCCCTGCCCTCCAGAAGGCAGGAGGCTTACCAGGCTTTGGCCCCTCTTGGAGCCCCTGGGGGTAGCTCTACCTTCAGCTTCCCTCTTGTCCCTGTGACCCTTTTCCTCCTGTCCTCACCTCTGAACTGGGGGTCACAAGAGAAGTTCTCTGTGGGCTGAGTGCAGTGATAGGTCCTCTAGGCTACCTAGAGCCCTCGGCCCCAGCCCAAAACTGGGATGTTTTCTGGGAGGTAACAAGGTGTACATCCTGTCCCCTCTGTGGCTGCCTCCCTGATTACCTTCACAGGCGGTGCCCTCTTCATTCACCCAGTACCCGCTCTTGCAGGTGGAGCAGGCAAAGGAGCCCTCTGTGTTGAGGCAGATGCCCGCGGGGCACGAGGCCCGGCTGGCACACTCATCCACATCTGAAATAGCACAGAGCTCGGGGTGGGACTTTGCAGGACAGATGTGTTGGACAGCCACAGGTCGACAGGTGGGCAGGGGTGGCCGACAGGTGGGCAGAGAGACAGGCTGGGCAGGGATGTTCAGTCATCATGGGTACAGGGCCAGGGTGGCCTAGGGATGCAGAGGAGCCCTAGCTGGATTTGCGGTGGAGGCTTCCGCTTTGGCACTTCCATACCTTGGCAGCCCCTCTCATCTGCGGTGGCCTCGTAGCCCTGCTCGCAAGAGCATCTGAAGGAGCCTTCCAGGTTGATGCACCTCCCATGGGTACAGACCCCAGGGGTCAGGCACTCATCCACATCTGAGGAGACAAGGCCAGGATAGCGCTGGCCTCCTCGCCGTCATGTGACCTCCATGGGCAGGCTCCGTGTAAGGCAGAGACCTGCCTTCAGAGGGCCATAGACTGCTGGGGAGGCCTGAGGCCCTGGCTCTCCCCACCCCCAAGGCAGGCAGGTGCCTCTCCCGGCTCGCTTCAGCCCTGTCTAGTCATAGCACCCCACATAGGTCCTAGAGAAGGAGCAAGCCCCCCAGTCCAGAGGCTGGCTTGGCCCCTCTGAGGATGTTGGGATGAGAAGGCCAGAACCCTGGATTCTCCTCATGGGGGATTTGAACCTCTCTGGCCTCCTCCCTGCTGGTCAAACAACTTGTGTTCCCAGCCCAACAAGCAGCCTCTGTGGGTGAGCAGCAGTGTGGGGAGGCCGGCCACGCTATCTCCGGAGCCTGGAAATGCCTGTCCTCTCCGGAGCCTCAAAGCATCTATTCAAAACCTAGTTCAGCCTAGAATCCTGAGCCCGGGCTCTTCTCTTTCCCACAGCGGACATGCAGCCCCTTCTGGAGGGAGGCGAACTGCATGAAGGGTGAGGCATGCCATCCACCACTGTGCCCCTCCAGGGAACTGCAGAAGGGCCTCCCCCATCCTAAGACACTTGGCTCCTCACCCTCCCAACAGGATCCAGCCATAAAAGCGTCTGGAACTTCGGGCTATCCCTCCAGAACAGGCATGACCAAGAAGAAGAGGCCCCATCCTAGCTGACTCGGAGGGCGGTGCACTGGTCACACAGGCACACCCAGCTCAGGCCCCATGGCATCTGGGAGCTCATCAGGTTGCGAAGGACAGCAGCCTCCAGCCATCTCCCTCTGCCAACCTCTCCCTCCCTGTGTGTGGGCTCAACCGGAGGTCCCAAGGCCCAGCGGCCCTCACCTACACAGCTCCCGCTCTGGCCCCGGTAACCCTCCTCACAGGCCAGGCATGTGTAGGAGCCGGGGGAGTTGACACATCTCCCATCAGGGCAGGTGCCTGGGTGACGGCACTCGTTGATATCTGCAAAACAACAGCCCCTCCTGTGGTCATCCCGGGAACTGCAGCACATGCGTAGGCCTGTAACAGCAAGTCCTTGACCTTGCCCTTGGCTGGGCAGATGATGTCAGTTCCTGTACAGACGAAAACTAGGAAAATATGAGAGCTGCCTGTGTTCCTTCCCCTCCCACTCACTGTCCTGGACAAAAGAAAGAGATGGAGGATTTTAAAAGTTAGAGAGGGAGACTCCCTGGTGGGCACAGGGAGGCTGTGGCTCTCACCAGCCATGGAGGGGCAGAGAGCTCTCCTTTGTGAGCTGGACAGTTTGAGAGGGGCCTTCACACCTAGCTGGTGAGCTTCTAATCTTTCCAACCTTCCCCAAGGAATGGGACGTGCTTGGCACAGCAGCCTGTCGGATTGCTACCCGAGTCCCAGGATAGATCCCTAGAGGGAAGTGAAGGCAGCATGGGCCTCCCTGCATCCCAAAATGAGTCCTGAGCTGAGTGTAGAGCCAAGGGGAGAGGCTGGCTAGGCTTTCTTGCTGACGACTAGAGCTATGGAGGGTGAGACTCAGGAAAGTCCGTCAGAAAGGGTGGGCCTAGACATCAGCCAGACAGGCAGGGGATGCGGGGACCCAGGGAGAGAGTGACAACAGGAGGAGAGGGAGGCAGCGTTCTTCCCATGTGGTCTGGCAAAGCAAGGAGTCCATCATCAAGGGAGTTGGGGAGTTAGGGGGGTCAACATCCCAGGGACCAAACAGGGTCAGAACTGCAGGGCATCATGCTCTTCTGCCCAATGTCAAGGCTTCTGGCCACTACTCACGACAGACAGATTGACCAAGCTCCAGAGGAAACAGGAGGATTTATTAATGGTCATTCTGCGGGAGAAAGTCCACCAGCTTACACAGGTGAGAGGCCCTCCTGCCCAGGAGGAAGACCTACTCAGGAGGAAATGTGGAGGCAGGTCCAGGGTCAGAACACAGGTCTTCTGCAAAGAGACTAAGGCCAGCAGCTGGCATTGCAGGACACGAAAGGGACCCTAAAGAGGAGGGCGAAAATGAGGCCTCCCTGAAGTGGTTTGGTCTCCAGAGGTCAGGACACATCAAAGCCTCTGTCCAGGGGCCTGGGACCCTCTCAAACCCAAAGCTTCACTCTGAGGTCCAGGAGAAGAAGGGCGGGGGGTTACTCAGGGATGTCTGTGAGGAGATACCCACAATGCCTAGGTCATCTTGTGGACACTGAGAAAGGCTCGTCTTTGGAAAGAGGGCCACCACAGCCCCCACTTGGATCATGATGACTCCCTGTTCAACTATTCTAAGGGTTTCTGCCACGACAGAGAGGAGAGAACGAAGGATCTCGGGTGATCAACTCTGGCCAGCCAGGAGAGAGCCCCAGCACCAGGGTCTCCTGGCTTTGCCGAGGAACCCGAGGGAGGAGGAGCAAGGCCCTAAAAAGGCCAAGGAATCCTGCCTTGGGGATGCCAGACTTGAGGGCTGAAGAGGAAGAGACTGAGGCAAGGGTCCTCCTGAGTCTATGCCGAGAGATAGGAACTCCTTGGGCCGCCCCCACAGGGCTCAGGCAGTGTGAGAAGGAGATCGGGCTGATCACAGGTAGAGGGCCCTGAGGCCTATCCTGCCCTGATTGTGCTGGGCACACCTGCAGGAGGTGGTCAGCGATGTGTTGGCGCAGGACATTCAGGAGGCGCCACAGGTGGGACTCACCAGTGCCGTTCACAAGGTATCCCAGCTCTCCCCTTCCCAGCTGCGGGAGGCTCGTGCCTCCCTGTCCCTTGTGGTTGGGCCGGGCCATGAGACCAGTGCTGGCCAGTGAGCCGTGGGCAGATGTGACATGTTACTTGAGGGTCAAACCACTGAACCGTGTGCAGCCCTCCAGGGTGCCTTCATCTTCCATGGAGATCGGCCATATTCCAGACACTGTTGTCCCTCTGCCTACTCGAGTGAGGAGACATGGAGGGTACCAGCTGACTCAGGGTGGACACATGGCACTGATGAGATGGAAACTTGGCTGCGTTCTCTGGCACTAAGACTGGGCTCCATACTGGCATGCTGCTGCTGGCTTCCTTCCTCAGACCAGAGCCCGCCCGCGATGGTCATCCATGAGAGGTCGGCGGCGGCGGGAGGGGGAGCATGGAGGACCAGAGCATCCTGTCTCCACCCGAGCTGCTCCTGCGTGGAAGTGGATGTGACTGAGTCACTCGCCGAGCCAGTCCACAGGCCACGTGAAGATTTCAGACAAGGTTAGTGCCATCGTCCGTTGTCCTGAGGCTGTCCCACCAGCCTCTTGCTGCCTGGACTGGTGCAGGTTTTCCGGTCCCGTCTAGGGTCTGAATGTGGCTCTGAGCTGACGGTGTGCTTGCCAGGTTCTAATCTCTGGTCATGGGGGCCAGGGCCATCTGTCTGATTCATTGATGTATTTCCCAGCCCAGGGCTGGCACACAGCTGGTGCTCAACAGATATTTCTGACCAAAGAATGGGATAATGTGCCCCAAATTTCCCCTGCCTGCTTCCTAGTCTAAGGCAGCTGAAGAGACCCCCCAAAGGACCCGTGGACATAGTCGCTCCAGGGTCGGCCTGTCAATCTGCTGCCTATACTGTGAGGGTCCTGAGCTTTTCTCAGCAGGGCTCAGTCTTTGAGTGAGAACATGTGAAGACTCCCACCTCTGTTCCTTGTGACAGCAGGGGTGGGGGCAGGGAGACACCCAGGCAGGGTGAAAGCTCAGTGACCTTAGAGGTGGGTGGAGGCAGAGAAGCCCTGGCAGTCTGCAGGGAGTCCACCCTGTTTGTGGGAACCCAGCATCCTCGTACAACGGAACTGCCACTGAGGCAGTTGGATGGGCCTCTGTCCAGATCCCTTAGCCTTTCTCTAGAGACTCTGATTCAGTGGAGAGAGTGGTTTCTCAGTTGGAGAAAGAACAAAGAAAGAGAGGAGCCTGCCTAGGCTCTGGGGGGATGCGGGTTTGCGGTTGCCGATGGAAACCTGGAGAAATGTGTCGCTCCATTATTCTTCCTTTCAGCAGCCCCTGGACCAGGAACTCAGCCTGACCTCCTAGGCGAGCTGTATTCAGAATGTTCCTCTGGAAGGAAAGGAATGATCTGGAGGAGTAGACAGGGGTGCGGCGTCTGGAGAAAGAGCCACCTTCTGAAAGCAGCGCTTCCACTGGGTTACTGAGAGGCCCAGGAGCCAACGATGCTGGCGGGCACTTTGGATGACTTGCCTTATTTCATCCCCACAGAAAGCTCTGTGGTGGGCATTATGGTTTCCATTTTCAGACATCGAGACAAGAGCCAAACCCAGGTCTGTCTGCACTGGAGTCTGTGCCCTCAACACGGACTGCTTAAAGTAATCTGATGTTTTGAATGTTCTGGTATTTTCTTGGTTCGTTTCCCTTAGTTTTGCTTTTCTTGTTAATAGTCTAATGTCAGATTCATCATGTCGTGATGCTTAAATGCGGCCATCAGTCAAGGACCTAGGACAGCCACTGGGGACACAGGAGGCACCTGTCGGATGGGGGTGCTTCCATTGTTCTCCTGGAAGGTGCCAGGCCATCTCGTCTCCATCATGTTCATGAGGACCGAGGGGGTGGTCTGGCTTTGGTCATGTGCAGGCTGCATTTTAAAGGGGAGATCCAGTGGGGAGGCATTGGGAAGGACGGTGACCCTTAGGGGTGAAGGCAGAGGCGTCTGTCCTTGACTGCAGCCATATCTCCCCTCTGCTAAGACCTTCAAGCCTCGGGACTTGGCTCCATGGTGGTGGTGTTAGGGTGGAGGCTGTCCCTCCATAGGCACCCAGGTTCTCTCTCACGCCGAGGACCCTCTGAAGCTGGGCAAGTTCTTTAGGGAGACGTGGGGGCTGGGAAGTGGCTGAGCCTGAGCTGACTCAGGGCAGAGTTTTTCTCAGAGAGAGCCTCGACTACCATCCACTGGCTCCTGTCTCAGACAGTCCTGAGGGCACATTCCCAAGGTCTCCTGCAAGCCTGTGTCACCCCAACCTGTCAAGGAGGAGGAGGCCAGGCTGCCCGGAAGTTTTCAGAGCTGGCCCAAGAGTGACAGGTTACAGTCAGTGGTGGTGGCGGGTGTGTGTGTGTGTGTGTGTGTGTGTGTGTGTATGTCTGTGAGGAGATCAGCTGGCAATGTCATGGTGCCTTTGGTTGGGTCTGGAAAAGGGAAAGATTCTGGATATCTCCCTTCCTTCCTTCCTTCCTTCCTTCCTTCCTTCCTTCCTTCCTTCATTCCTTCCTTCCTTCCTTCCTTCCTTCTTTCCTTCCACCAGCATGGGCTGGGTGCTCACCAGTGTCCGTGTACAGGCAGTCTACAGCCCTGCGCTCAGGAGCTCCTAGTCCACCAAGCTTGGCAGGAAGGCCAAGACTCCGGACAGACCAGCCCTTCCTCTGCCCTGGAAGGAGAGCATGTTTTTCGAGGCAAGGGGCAGAAGTCTACAGGGAAGATGTTCCCAGGTGTCGTGTAGATGCAGTCATCTGTGCTCCCCTGTTGCAGGGGGCAGACAGGACACCAAAGTGTCCCCGGGATAATGGCAGGGCCCAAGAATTCATACTCATGTCTCTGTCCACGGGTGTGGGCCCAGCCTCGAGGGACTGGGAGGATGGGCTCAAGGGGGAGCTGGTGTGGGCCCAGCAGATGGGGATGGCAGGCTATCCCCTTCCTCCTGTCCCTTACCTTGGCAGTGTCCTTTCCTGACCATGATGTAGCCCTGGTCACATTCGCAGTGGTATGAGCCCTCGGTGTTAGTGCACCGCCCCCCGCGGCACACCCCTGGCTGCTCACACTCGTCTATGTCTGCGAACACAGAAAATCGAGTCACAGCCGGCCCCAGGGGTCCTAGAGTGTCCTCTCCAGAGGTCCAGGACAAGGATGCCCATGCTGTGGCCCCAGTGGGGAGGATTCCTTCCTGCAGCCATGGCAGCTGGGGGCTCTCCAGACTAGGTCTGAGACTGAGCTAGCTGAGTCCTTTCTCCCAGGGGAGGCTACTTGGGGGCCCACAGGAACCTCCTCAGTGTCTCCTCACCCAGAGGCAAGGACTGGTCTTGAGGTTGGTGGCAGTCCCTGTGGCAGGATCTGAGGAGGCCCATAGAGTTCCCACCCTGCTCCCAGCCCAGGTACACCCGCCCTTGGCCTGCTCCTGGAGTCCTCTGAAATGACTGTCTTAAAGGGTTGGAGCTAAGCAGCCCAAGAGGCAGCATTTCAGGCAGCCATGGGTCTGCAGGGTGTGGTTTGTGTCGTTGTCCCAAAGCACACTGGTGCCCCACGAGGCTCCAAAGCAGAGGCTTGGTGACGCCACCCCCTGCTGAAGCCCCCAGCAGGGTTCCCTGTCTCCTCTGGTCCTGCCGGCAGCCTGGCTCACAGGGCCTTGGCACCTGGCGCCAGGCCTGCTGTACCCATGAATTCCCATGTGCCCCTTGGCTCAAGAACAGGCTTCACCAGCCCAGGCTCCGAGCCTTTGCCACACAAATGCTCCTCATCTCTACGGCCAGCACATTCCTACTTTCATTCCAAGGATGGGTTTAAGCGATCGACTCTGGCCCTGTGGACGCTGCCCACTCTCTCCCCAAGTCGTGCTGAGCTGGGACTGGCTCCTATACTTCACAGAGCCTCTGTGCAGGTGGGATGAGGTAACCCCCAGGGGAGGGCATGGCACAGTGCCTGCCTGGAACGAGCCGTTACCATTATTCCAGCATTCAGCCCACCCCAGGAAGTCCACACTCCCCAGCCTGGCATGTTTGACCCTCCATGACCCAGCCCCGCCTCTTTCTCTCGCCTCCTTCCTGCCCCTGCGGTCCTCCTCGCCAGGCCCACGCGGGACCTGCTCCTGAGCTTCTGCCGGCACTGTCCCCTTGCCTGGAGTGACTTCTGACCCGCTGCGGCTGCCGCCCGCTCATCTCTTGATGAGACTGACCCCTCCTCTGCAGCCTGCAAGCCCCTGGACAGAGTCTCCTTAGGCCGAGGCCTCTGCATAGCTGTTCACTTCCTTGTTTGCGTCTCTCTAATGCTGGAAACATTTCTTGTCATCACAGTATCCCCAGCACCTGCACAGAGCCTCACTGTGCGCACGGAAGGAGTGCACAGCAGGGTCACAGGCAGGAGGGTGAATCGCACACTTCCGGCCCACATCCTGGCGGCCCAGGAAGTTGCATCATCATAACTCTTCAGGCAGTTCTGAAATCACTGGTCCTCACTTCAAGATGCTCTAATCCCAGTGAAAGAGAAAGAGGAACTCCTAGGCAGAGCTGGGTATGGGAACTTGAAGAAGAACCATCACCCCATGGGCCAGGAAGCCTGTCTGATGGATGCTCCTTGGAAAATCACCTCGCTCCATGGAGAGAAACAGACAAGGAAATAGAAAAAAAAAAACAACACAAAAACGAGTCTCTAACACCCACACAAAAATGGGCTCCAGACAGACTCCAGACACCATGGAAGGTAAAGCTATGACCCCAGCGAAAGAAAGGGTAGGAGAATGCGTTTGTAGCCTCAGGGCAGGGAAGGACTTCTGAAATAAAGCCCCAAAACATAAAAGGTGAATTTCAATACACCAAAATGATAGATTTCTGTTCAAAAAAGAGCAAGTGGATAAGGTTAAACGACAGAGAAAAATATGGGAGCATTGCAATCTCTAAACCCAGCCAAGTGGCTGGACAAGGGACCCCCAAAAGCCCCGAGAAAAAGCAGCAACCGCGAAGGGGAAACCGAGAGAGGGACAGAGCAGGCAAGGCCCAGATGAGGAAGCCCAGAGGCCAGTGAACAGCGCACATGGAGCTGCTGACACCTTTGAGCAAACAGGGCTCCTGTATCTCACGTGTATCTGATGTTATTTGTGCTGATATTAACTTCCAGGATGCGAATTGTAATGCGTTATATTAATGATATCAATTATGTAAATGACTCATACATAAAAATAAAGATTGGAGTAAGTCATTGAAATCATGAGCTACCACTTTACATGACCGGTATCCCCAGCACCTGTAGACTGCCTTCAGACACGGGGTGTTGTCTTGGGCAAGCTTTCTTCAAGCGGCAGCCAAGCCCCACAGGGGGAAGCGCTTATAGCATTCGAGTCCCACCCCTGTCCCCCGGTTGCTGGGGCTGGCAGAGACATCTGGACACTTAAGCTGGCATGTGGCGGACCCCTTGTCTGGGTCAGTCCTGGTGACACCATTCCTGCAGCAAGCATAGCTTGTCCAGGCTGGCTTCGGGGCTGGGTCTGCAGAGAGCAGCGCCTCTGGCCCCTCACACCCACCAGACCTTGCCCCTGGCCCCTCCAGCCTGCTCTAGCACTGCTCCCGAGTCACCTCTGTGAAAGCCAGCTGACCCAGTCACTACTTGCCCTCTGCTCACAAGCCACTGTTGGTGGCCATGACCGCGGGACAGCATCCAAGCACTTCAGCCTGGCACTCGACACACTTCCCCAACTGGCCTCAGCCCCTGCCACTTCCTCCAGGACCTGTACCAGTCACACTGAGTCATCCCCCACCCAGAGCATACCAGGCCTGTTCTCCACTTGGGTCTGCAAAAACGGTTTTCTGGCCCCGGACCACCCTCCCTCCCTTCACCCCCAGCCATGCTCCATGATGGTGCCCAGCACCCCCACATGCGAAGGACATGTTGTCGGAAGCAAAACCATTTCAGAGCCAGAGCAACCTGACTGTTTCAACTTTCCACCATCAAGGTGAAGCTCCTGGTGCTTCCCGTCATCCTACTGGGTCTTAGTCTGCTAAACAATAAAGTGGGGAGAAGGATTTCTGCAGCATGAGTGGGGTGATGGCTTTCTGGAGGAAAGTACAGGGACAGGGCCAGCACGAAGGAAGTGCTAATCACGCGACAGCTGTTATCATTCTGCCCCAGCTCAAGCGCTTGCCTCTGGGAAACCTTCCAAAATACTCTCATTCAGAACCAGCTGCCTCTTCTTCTGGATGCTACGACGTCACCACCAGGCCTTACTCGTCTCAGCACCCTCAGAGCTAAGCACAGTGCCTGGCACAGAGGCACCCAGCGTGTAGGCTCAGTGAGTGATGCCTGGCTCTCCTGCTTGGCTGTGAGACTAGGTGATTCATCCCCTCTACTCCCTTCCCCCATGACCAAGTGAGAAGGCTTTGGTCCCTGCAGATGAGGTCATGGGGGCTTAGAACCAGAGGGGATCCTGGCAGTGGGAGGACACACAGCCTCCCTGGCCTCCTGGGGGGCTGACCAGTGCCAGCGACATGAGCCCCAAGAGCAGGAGGGCTGCTCTCAAGGTGTAGGACTTGCAGCTGGGTTGGGAATTATAAGATATTGTGTGGACAGTGCTGCATCCTATTCTTTGGGAACTCGTTCACAAAGCTGGATGTGGGGTGCTCTGTGTCATTACAGGGTCTGTGTGGGAAGTGTGTTTATCTGGGGTCCCCTAGCAGTGGCAAGGCCTTCCCAGGGAAGTCTCCAATCTGCTTGGACCCCACGGCTCTCAAGGGCACACCTAACCGTCTGTCTGCCGGCAGGCCCACACTTGATGATTTATCTCTCATGGGTCTCCCTCTCTCCATCACCCTCTTCAGGCCTCCAAACTTTGAGTGAGCTCCTGTCACTCAAATTTGGGGACCTGGCCTTTAGTCCTTGTCTCCAGTCATGTCCCCTGACCCCCTCATACTCTTGACTCTAGTCACATTTCCTTGGGGCTTTTGCAAATGTTGCTGCCTTTTGTATTTCTACCCCTCCTTGCCACTGGCATACGGGCAGTTTCCTCCCGAGTCCGGGCCAGAGCCCTGGCGCCTCTGCCCTTGGCTCCCACTCCCCACTCTGCAGCACTGTGGCTGGGGCCTGCGAACACCTAGCTCCTCTTAAACCCCCACTGGACTGTGGGGATCTGGTGCCTGTCTTGGGGGCAGGGGTGGGCTTGGCTTACCTCGGCACTCCTGTGTGCCCCCCGAAGTGGCCAGTGTGTACCCAGGGTAGCAGAAGCAGGAGTAGGAGCCTACACGGTTGACACAGCGCCCTCTTCCCTTGCAGGGGTCACTCAGACACTCATTGTCGTCTGACCAGAGGGAGGGGAGGAGGGAGGTCAGGGAGGCCAGCAGAGCCTTTCTCTGGGCTCCTGCCAGAAACCAGCCCACAGCAGGGGCTGGGCAGGGGGTGGTGCTGTGTGGCAAGGTGGGAAGGGAGCAGAGAAGGTGGGAGGGGGACGTCTCTAGGGCCGAGAACCGAGAGCCGGCTGTCAGCCCCCTCAGGCTCTCAGGGCCTGTGTGTCTGCTGGCACCTCCTCCCTGCCTCTGTCTCCTCACCCAGTGGCCCCAGATCACCTCCCTTCTCCTTCAGGACCACAGTGGATGTTTCTCCCTTGTATAGCCACATTGGAGGAGGAATGAGGCCCACACTTGATGACTTATCTGGGCCCAAGCCTCCCTCAGGGATGACCCTGGTGGAGACATCTGTAACTGGGGCAGACTTTGGTCCATGCTGCAGGCAGAAAAGTGGCCAGTTTGAGGGGTGGGCTGATCTCAGGCAGAGGGCTGACAGGCTGGGGTGCCTTGAGGCCCCCCTTCCCTGCAGTCTTGGGGATCTTCGATGGGACTCACGGAGAATGGTCTTTCCCCCAAGGCTAGGATCGGTTTCATCCATAGGGGCTGCCCTCCTCCTAAACGCATCCACCCCCAGCCGACAGGGACCTCCCCGCCCCCACCCCTTGCTGCCTGGACCCTGGATCCACCCCCAGCCCCGCTCCCACCTGCCCCAGGTGCCAAGCGCTTAGGATGCCTGCGTGAGTACCCGTGCAGTAGACCTGGCTGGGGTGCCACCGGTAGCCAGGGCTGCAGATGCAGCGGTGCCCGTCCGGGAGGCTCACACAGGTTCCGGGGCCACAGATGTTGGTGGCTGCAGCAGCACATCTGTCGACGTCTGTAGGAGACGGAGCAGAGAGGCAGTGAGGGGGGAGGAAGGCAGCGGGACCGGGTGCAGAGGCCATGTGGGCCTTGCCAAGCCTCCCGTGCCAAGCACAGCACAGCCTCCTTGAGCCCTGCCCAGGAGGGCGCTCCCAGCACCACCCTCTCCCCAGGCTCTGTCACTGTGTTTCCAGGATGTGACCTCCCTGCCCAGGTTCCAGCCTAACCTCACCCTGAATGTGGTCTCAGCGCCCGCCCTGTGCCCACACAAGCAGACGGATCTGTGAGGCGGGTGCGGGGGAAAACTGCCAGGGGGAAACAGGGGAGGTGGGCTGGGGCCAATTGAGTAGAGCCTTGAATGCCACGTTGAGACCAGCCTGTAAGCAAGGGGGCCATGGGGGTGGGTCAGAGCTGCGTCAGGAAGGCCTCGAGGGTGCAGGATGGCAGGTGGACCATGTGGGAGGCATGGGGACCCTGGAACTGCGGGAATGCATTAAATGGGATCAGTCTTGGGTGGGGCAGTAGGGCGAAAAGTGGGAGACAGGTGCTGCCTTGAGAAACAGTTTGAGGCTGTGGAGGCAGTGGAGACCCTAACTTTTTTGAGTTGTGCCCCTAATACTAGAAAAGTACCTGACACTGAGAACGTGCCAAATGGACAAATGAACAAACGAAGGAATGATGTTTTCCACCTGTGTCAGCCCTGAGGTCTTAGCCTGAAGCCCACACACACAGGGTCCCATGGCCCACCCCATACCTTAAGAGACTCTGGAGAGCCAGGGACCAGTAGGGCAATGGTCCTCGGGGTCCACATTGGGCTTAACAGGCTTTGCTACGTTGGACCCAGTCGGACGTGCACATGGCCTGTCTGCAAGGACCTTCTCCCTGGACTGGCTCCAAGTGTGATTCGGCCTGGGGCTTGTGGAGGGCTCTGGTCAGGTTCTAAATGTCTACCCAGAGGGGTGCGGTGGGGAGTGGCAGGGGAGATGGGGACGGACCAAAGACCAAGGCATGGTGGTGGTGACTCTGCCACCGTGTGCTGAGAGCTGCCCTGAGCTTGGCCTGCCCCGACCTCCTGGCCCCCTGTCCCTTCCTCCGAGCCTACTTTCCCCTGAGAGACTCAAGGCCCCCAGCAGAGGCCCCTTAACATGACCCATTCCGTGAGCAGAAGAGGAAGAGGACACTCCCTGCAGCTGCGCTCTGAGCTTGGGAGTGCAGTCCTGGGGTAGCCAGTGGGCACTCTGGGAAGGCCACCCCACCCTGACCCTTGGACTGTCCTGCCAGACTACAGGGCCCTTCCCTTTGCCAGAGGACATCCAGACCCCGACTCCTGTCCCTCATTCTAGATGACTTGGGTCTCCTGACCTCAGGTGTGAGCTAAGAAAGCAGAGAGGACATGTGGGCCTGGGAGCAGCCACACCCTGGCCTTATGGGCCCTCAGCTGAGTCCCCAGACAACAAGCCTTTAGAAAGGGCACACTGCAGAACCAGGTGACTTGCTGGGACCCCCACGCCTGCCTCATCAGTGCAGCTGGCCTGCAGGAAGGAATGCAATCTCTGCTGACCTTGAGAACCAGGGCCATGCTCCTTCCTGTGGGCAGGAAGCCTCTGCTGCCCAAGAGCACTGCTGATGCAGGGCGTGGGCCTGGAGGTCCAGGGCTCCCCTTCCAGAGAGGGACCTGTTTGCTCCCGGAAGACCCCTGGCTTTCCCAAAGACCTCTGAGTAAGAACCTCCCCCAAGGTGTCCCTTCTCGTCCCCCTCACTGGCTTGAGCAGTGCTCCAGATAAGGTTCTTCTCTCGCTAGGGAACCTTGTGCTCCTTGTGAGATGGGGCCTGCTGGAGACTGTTCATGGTGGGAGAAGGAAGGGAGGGCTTCGTGCATGCCCAGGGCCGGCTCCAGACAGCCACACCTCACGGGCTGGGGTGTGGGGAGTCCAAAGAGAAGCTGCAGCTACCTGGGGTGCCCAGAGTCACCAGCACCTCAGCAGAGGGGGTCACTTGCTCTTCTTCCTGGATCTCTGGGACCTCCTGTTCAGGGGGTGGTGGTGTTGGTCTTCCTCTAGCATCCCCTGCAGAGGACAGAGGGAAACATATGGGGCTTGGCCCCTTGGTTGGCCATGGCTCTTCCCTCCTCCCTGCTGTTCAGACTGGTGAGCATAAGGGTGGTGCCCAGGACGGGTCTCCTGTGCCTCCCAGTCTCCTGGAACTTGACCTGCCCCCTTTAGTCAGAGAGTTTGAGTGCACTACCAGGCCTTAGAGCGCACTCAGTTTAGCCCTCCATTTCACAGGCGGGGAGACTGAAGCTGGCAGAATGGCCACTGTCCAAGGCCAGTCAGCTGGCTAGGGGCAGAGCCTCTGGCTCCTGGTGCCCACCTCAGTCTTTTTCCCTTGCTGTGTGCACAGCGTTTTACAGTTCACAGAGCTCTGCCACAAACACCAGCATCGTACGTGCTTGGGAGGTGGCAGGACAGGCATGGGTCCATCTTACGGGTAGAAGAAGCCACAGCTTAGCCTTCTGCTACAAACCCAACATAGTTTCAAGGGGTGAGACCAGGCCCACAAGGGACAGAGCTCCTGGGACCCCACCAACCACCCTTCAACCAGTGCTTCCTCTTTGAGGTAGTGCTGGGTGGCCCATGACATTCTGAAAGAGTTCTGTGGCTAGAAACTCTCTGTGAAGCATCATGGGGTCTCTCACCAACCTCACAGCCCCTCAAGAGTCCAGTACTCTTGGGAGGAGTGTGCCCATGCCATCCTTTGTGACCCGCTCTGCCTCGAGCCCAATGGGCCAGCTCCCATGAGCGCAGGAACTCGCTTGCTAGGTCAAGGCCCCCTGCCTTTCTGTCTCTTTTCCCCGGGAGCTGCTAGGAGGAGGGACTCACCCAGGACCCAGGCAGACATGTGAGTGGCACTGGTGGTGACCTGCACAGAAATGGGAAAAAGTCACCTAGGCTCCCATGTCACCCGCGAAGTGCTTCCCTCACCACTCTAGGCTTCCTCCTGACACTTCCCCACTCTCCCGTCCAAGAGGTGCTCTTGCTCTGAGCAGGCCCTGTTGCACCTTCCGTCCACCGTCTTTGCTCTCACAGTGGAGGGAGGGCGATCAGGTGAGCCAAGGTGTGCACCATGCCTGCTCTGTGTCAGGCACGTGGTAGAAAGCCAGCAAGTTTGGAATCGACCTATGAACACCCCCATGTCTCCATGGAGGAATGAAAGTCCTCAAGGTTAACTAGCATGCCCGGGGCTGCAGGACCAGAGGCCACACCTGGTATCCCTCAGCATAGCCATGGACACAGCTCGATAAGGTGTGGGGATGTGGGAGAAAAAGCAAGGGCAGGGAACAAAAGAGGCCCTGGAGTGTGGCAGAGCTGTGAGAATGCTGGATTCGAGCCCTGGGTGGGGGAAGGGGCGGCACTCAGTGCTCCAGGGAGGGCATGACCTGCTGGAGAGACTGTACTGGGGACAGTCAGGCCAGCAGGTTGCAGAGGCCGGGGGCAGGGCGGGGACTGGGGAAGGAAGAGGCAGATTCACCTTCCGGAATGTTTTTCTAGGAAAACATCTAGTTCTTCACAGGGATGCCCCTTTCTTGGTGAGGTGGTTCGCAGCTATCCACAGCTGTGCCCCTATTTCCTCATAAACCACTCATAGATCACCTTGAGGCTAAGTTAAATCGGCTGAGAGAGTGCCAGATCCAGAAGGAACTGGAACCCGCTCTAGACCTCAGCTGCCATGCTCAGAGCCTGAGTGCCAGCCAGGACTGCAGGACGTGCCCAGCCCTTCTCATAGGAGAGTCCAGACACAGGAGCTGTTGCTGTCACTCCCTTCAGGATCAAACTGGGTCTTGTATCACTCCTCCCACTTAGTCATCTTTTCAAGTAAAATCCAGCGGATTCTCCACGTCCCTTTCCTCCTCAGGGACACTGCCCTGGGGCCTCAGTGCCACCCTCGGTCACTTAGTGCCCCCCAAGCCCTTAGTGGGGGGACTCACTCACCTGGCTGGCCTGAGGGTTGCCTGGGAAGGGAAAGGTCAGAGTGTGAGCACAGGGAGGAGGGTTCAGCTGCCTCCTCCCCTCACCTATGGCCTGTGCAGCTTCATGGTCTGCATCCGAAATGTGGCACAGCAGGGACCATAGCACAGAGCACTCGCCTGCCTCTGCCGAGCACCCCCGAGGGACCAGTCACCAAGGAACCCCAGAATCCGAGACCTGGAAGGCTGGAGGCAGCTCAGCTCACCCCTCACTTGGTGAGAGGTAGCCCTATGCTCCTTTAAGGCCTCAGTGACGGGAGTCCTGTCCTTCCCCGGGTCAGCCGGCCCCATCGACTCTGTGACCCATCCCCTTGCCCTGCTACTTCCTCCCTCCCATGTGTCCAGCCACACTAGGTCACTCAGCCCCTGCCCTGGGAAGGCATGGAGTTGCTCCTGGCTCGGCCAGTATTCGTCTGTGACAACGGGGCTCTGTCCTCACTTCCAGTCTGTGCCAGATTCCTGGAGCGGCTATAGCAATCCTGTAGTCTACCTGGCTCTAATACATCCCAGGCCTCCTGCACTCAGTGGCACCAGCAACTTGGCATGACTCTCCGTGGCTTCCCAGGACACTGGCCAGGGCAGCCTCAAGCCCTGTCTCTCTGGCCCATGCCTCTGGTGTCCAAGGCAGTGGGCTGGAGTTCATGCTTGACTTGAAGGCCAGGGCAGGGATCTAAAGGCACAGAGCCTAGGATCCCCCCCGCCCCCACCACCCAGTTCTCCAGACCCAGCAGTTACATGGCCAGGGCAGGGCAGGAGGGGCCTGACCAACTGGGTAGTGGTGGCGGGGGTTGGCTGCCATTGGCCTCCTCCATATCCACAAGTGACCCTGGGATGGGACATCTCAGACCCTGTGTGGGAGAAGAAGCAGGTGGGGCCTTCCTGTCATGCCAGGCCATGAGGGAAGGGCCCTGGTCGGTGGGTGGGTGGGGGCGGGTGCTGCTGCTCCAGGCTTTCTCTCCTAATGCCCCAGAGGGGGTCCCGGGGGGCCAGGATAAATGCCCGTGCTGCTTGAAGGTGCTGGAAGTCTAAGAAAGGGAGTCCCTTGGCATCTCCCCCATTCCAGATACCCTTGTCAGGAACGGTTCCAGCCTCCAGCCAGGTCTCCGTGGCCACCCGGAGTGGCTGCCTCTCTGCCGGCCAAGGCAGGGTCCCCCTGCTCTTCTGCCCTTGCTCCCTTGAGGGCCTGGCCAGCTCCTCTTCCTCGGCCTTCCTCATGGACAGACGGATGTCTGAGCTGGAGTAGGTGTAGCCGTGGCCAGCAGGACAGATCTCCCTGAAGGCCTCTGTAAAGCCGACAGTGGAGGACACACTGAGAGGTACTGTTTCTGCGGGAAGTCAGGGCCCTCCCTTGGGTGGGGCAAGACAGCTGTGGCAGCCAGGAGGAAGGGAGGGAGCCTCAGCTGGGATCAGCACTTCAGGGAGGTTGACCCAGGCTGGGGAGAAAGGCTACTGGCTTTGAGGGAGCCTCTTGGTAGGCAACACCAGGATGGAGATGGGGTTACCTGTGCCAGGCAAGGGGCATCTCTCGCATTCACTGCCCCAGGCCTTGCCTACGCGGCTGCAGCAGCAGATCTGCTTGGTGATCCTCTGGGCCAAGGGCAGGGCACAGGTGCCAGGCCCCAGCGACCGGTAGCATAGTCCCTGCAGCATGGAGACAGCCTTGTCCGCTGCAACAGACACAGCAAGCAGGGATGAGTTGGCAGCTGGGGGACGTACAGACAGGAAGGTAGCGGATGAGGGTGTGGCAGTTACATGTGCTCACACTGGTCTGGCCACGTTCCGGTCTGCAAGTTTGGGGTCCTGAAAATGCTCATAAGCCCTTGAGGAGGCACGGCTCGGGGGATGTCTCAGCTCCTTCCTGTATTGCCTGTCGGTAAGCCCCTGACTCCTGCCCTCGTGTGGAGAACCCGAGAGCATGAAATGAGGATGGGACTGCTGTCTCCAGAGTTGAGTGAAAGGTATCTACTGAGGGTCCCATCCCGTGGGGAAAGGGGAAACAATATGCTTTGAGGACTATCAGCCTCTTGGGAAGCGAGATGAGGTAAGGCCCACAGGCCTTTTGGGGAGCTCTGGAGACAAGGACTCTGTCTTGGTCACTTTGTCACCCAGACACCTTCCACTGTGTCTGGTGCACACAGGTACTCATCAGGTGTTTGCTGAGTCCACAGAGGGATGGCCAGATCAACAGATGTGTCAACACAGAATCATCGAAGTAAAATACCATGGGTCTCGGTGAATCTGAGTTATACTGGGCCTAGGCCAATACTGCCACCACAGTTCCTTATCTTGTACTTCAATAGGGCATATGAAAGAACAGTCTCTTGTGTCTCAGTAGAAGACGAGGAGGCTGTTCTAGGCTGGAAGAGTCTGGAATACTTAGGGCTGATGGGCCTCCAAGAATAGGAGGGTTGGGCAAAGAAGGCACCGATGAAAGCCGAGGAATGCGTGGCCCTGGGGAACTTGGCAGACTGAATTCAAGTCCTGGCTCCATCATGAGCCACAGACCCACCCTCCCTCCCTTCGCTTCTTCACGTGTAAGACCAGGACGAGAAAGACCATTCCATGGGCAGCGACACCTGGATTTCTGCCTGCCCAGCATGGATGCTCCATATTCTGGTCTACATGCTGGGTTTTACCATGGGAGCCACCCCTTTGGCCCTGGGTGGAACTCACTTCCTGGCTGAAGTGTGCAGTTCACACCCCTAATCACTGTGATAGGGTCAGGATTGGGCTCTTGGCCAGGGAGGTTCAGTGATAATCAACTTTGGGGCTTTCTCTGGATTAATAGTAAAAAGGTACTCATTTTCTTTCCATTGTATTTGCATGGCCAAAAGGACGTAGGCCTAGATCATCTGGCAGGCACTTTTCCAAGAACAATGAAGCCAACACAGAAGACAGCACCAGACCCACCCTGTGACACTGGGTACTTGGGGCCAGCCAACCTGAGACCACACCACCGCCTTGGATCTCCAGGTGCAGCGTCTACCTCTAGCAGCCCTTCCATCACAACACGGGAGGGAAGGGCTCCGTGCCTTGGGATCCTGGGGGGAGGTGGCCTCACTGGAAATATCAGAGGCTGGTCTGGCCCTGTGGGCTGCTCTACCAGCCCTAGTCAGGTGGCAAGGAGGAGGGAGGCGACACTTGGAAACACAGGAAAGAGACCTCAAGCCTGCTCCAGTCCATCACCAGGGAGGATGTCGGAGGGATGACACTGGGGGGAAGAGGGAATAAAGAACACCAAGAACCATGTCTGTTACCCTATATTAAGGGTCTCTTTCTTTCACGAACAGAGAAGCATCACCTTGGGTGTGAAACACACCTTTCCAGTAGAGGAATCCCAAGTCACAAGGGTAGAAAGGCTGTAGCCCCTCAAGGCCTTGCTCACATGTCACTGAGAGTGGCCTGATGTGTTCTGCCCACTCTGGGCCCCTCATTCTCTGAGTGTCCCCCTCTCGCAGCTCTCACTGTCCTCTCTCCCTGGAGACACTGGGACCTGTCTCTCCCTGTACATGGAGCACTGCCTCTGGGTGGCACCAGAGCCCTGTTTGTTCCCATGGCCTTCCCAGACCCAGCACCAGGAGGTTGGCAGACTGAGGCTTGGCAGCTGCAAGGCGCTCTGCTGAGCTGGGGTGGCCACTTCGACCTGGGCCACAGCTGCCCACAGACCAGTCAGAACTGGTTTTATTCAGCTCTGGTCGGGCAATCCTGCCCAAGGAAAGCCCCAGCTGGGCCTCTCCCAGCTGATACCACAGAGGTCACTGGACACAGAGCTGCCTGGTATACATGCATGCTCACGCATGGACACAACGCTAGTGGTCACATATGTGTTCATGGACCTGGAGACACATTCAGAACTACAAGGGACTGTGGGATTGTAGAAAGGCCCAGGGTCGGGGAGCAGCACCATGAATGCCTGGGGCAGCCCTTTGCGAAAGGTCACTTGGCAGCCAGGAAACCAAGGTGCCTCACTAAGCTGTCACTGGAAGAGATAGCCAGGTCTCAGGGAGATATTACTGCAGAGACAACAAACAGAACAGAAATGACTAGAGGAAAAAGCAGAAGACATAGAAAATGTGAATTCCAAACTGCAAAGTTCCAGAAGAAATGCCTGCCGTGAAAAGCAAAGAGGCGGCTGTCTCTGACCCAGAAGGCTAGGCTGATGGGATTTTACGCATGGGGCCTAACCCCAGGCTGAGTAACAGGCGATGGGCCCAGGGACCAGATGGCTCTGTGCCTGGGCCCAGGTCTCCAAGGGCCCCATCCTGCCTCCCAGGGCTCCCTGGCTCTGCCCACACTCACACACACAGCGGCTCCGTGACGGGTCCAGCATGAGGCCAGGTCTGCACGTGCACAGGTAGCTGCCCCTGGTGTTCACGCACTCCGCATCCTTGCACAGGCCCAGGGCCAGGCACTCATTGATATCTGTGGGGTGAAGGAGATGACCGTGTGCCACCGCACGCCCCTCCTCCCAAGTCTGGCAGAGGGGAGGGGCTGGGCAAAGGTCTCCAAATACCTTTTTCGGATAAAACGACAACAAAAAGAGAGCTGCTGTTCATTAGGTGTGATTCTTCTCTCTGTGCCTCAGTTTACAAATGAGGATACAAATGAGGATATCCTCAATTTACAAATGAGGATAATGATGGTAACAGTCAGAGAGAGTTGTTAGAAGGATAAAATAAGGCCGAGCATGGTAACTCACACCTGTTATCCCAGCAGTCCGGGAGTCTGAGGCAGGAGGATTACTTGAGCCCAGGAGTTTGAGACCAGCCTGGGCAACATAGCAAGACCAAGTCTCTAATAAATAAAAATTTTAAAAAAGCCGGGCTCGGTGGCTCAGCCTATAATCCCGCGCCTTTGGGAGGCTGAGGTGAGTGGATTGCCTGAGCCTGCAGGTTCGAGACCCGCCTGGGCAGCGAGACCTCATCTCTACAATAAATCAAAAAATCAGCCGGGCGTGGTAGCACACGCCTGTAATTCCGGCTACTCAGAAGGCTGAGGTGGAAGGATCGCCGGATCCCAGCAGGTCGAGGCTGCGGTGGCCGGGAGCGGCCACTGCATTCCAGTCTGGGCGACAGAGTGAGACTCCAACTCAAAAAGAAAAAAAAAATTAGCCGGGCACAGTGGCGCACACCCATAGTCCCAGCTACATGGGAGGCTGAGGTGAGAGAATTGCTTGAGCCTAGGAGTCTGAGGCTGTGATGAGCCATAATGGTGCTACTGCACTCCAGCCTGAGTGACAGAGTAAAATGCTGACTCAAAAAAAGAAAATAAAAAGATAAAATACGACAAAGTTGCAAACCATTTGGTGCCCTAACCAGCACGTAATAGTGACCGTGACACTGAGAGCTAGCGCATGCTGAGTGCTTCTTACATGCACTTACTCTGCCGGAGACGAACACATGGTCCCTTGCTTAATGCTCACGGCATTCTTATCATGTAGCTTCCTCATTTTATTTTATTTTGTTTTGTTTTATATTTTATTTTATTTTATTTTTTGAGTTGGAGTCTCACTTTTTTGCTCAAACTGGAGTGTGGTGGCACGCTCACGACCACCACAGCCTCGACCTGCTGGGCTCAGGCGATCCTTTCACTTCAGCCTTCCATGTAGCTGGAACTACAGGCGTGCACTACCACGCTGAGCTCATGTTTTTTTGATTTATTGCAGAGATGAGGTCCCACCAAGTTGCTCAGGCTGGTCTCGAGCACCTGAGCTCAGGCAATCCTCAGCCTCCCAAAGTGCTGGGATTACAGACTTGAGTCACTGTGCCCGGCTGGTTCCTTATTTTATAGGCGAAAAGATGGAGACTGCAGGAGTACCTTGCCCAGGGTTACTCAGCAGCGTGGCCTGGGAAGGGGGAGGTCTCAGAGATGGCACTTTCTCGGGGAGGCCCTTGAGCATCCTTAGGGCTCAGTGGAGGGAGGGAGGGCCAAGAGCTCACCTGACATCCTAAGAATCACCTTAAAGCTCCAGGTCAGGAAATCCACCGGGAGGAGGGGCCACTGGGACAGTTTAGATGTGAACAGCCCTGCTGCGTCCTCCTAAATCCCAGATTTCTCCCCACATCTACCTTCCACCAAGCTTCTGGACCACAGCTCCCTGAGGGAGACTGACCCTGGACTAGGCTGGATCTGAGGCCTGCCCTTTGGCCTAGCACAAGCACCTTTTCTTATCCACAGACTAGAAACCATGTCTGCAGCCTGGCGCCCTGCAGGGAGATAGCCCAGCACCCAGGGCTCCCTTGGATGCCTCTCTCCTGAAGAAACCCTGGGAGAAGGTATGGCGGCATCTGGGTCAATCCTGTCTTCACCCCAGCTCCAACCAGCAAGTCACACAGACACCCATTCATCCCGTTGCCAAAGCTCCCTCTGGCCTCCAGCAGCCCGGAGCCTCTCACCAGCCTCTCACATCTCATTCATGTCAGACCCATGGCCGGGCTCAGTGGAGGTGGTGGGGCCCTCAGTCATCCTGCCCCCCACTCCCTGCCCCACCTGGCCCCCTTAGTGACCAAGTCATGGCTGAGCACCTCCTCTAGCCCACAGAGTCCTGGGCTTTGCTTCTCTGTGGGCCTGTAATGTAGACCACCCAGCCAGGGCAGGGCTATGCTCTATGTCCTCCCAGCCTGGCCACCTGTGCCCCCTCCCCTTCCTGGCTGTGGGTTGAGGCGGGTGGGGGGGGCTGAGCAGCTAAAGGTGCTTAGTTGGGAAAAGTCCACAGAGTCCTCCCAACTTAGGCCAACTTGGTTTCCCTCCCCAGAGCTGAAATTCTTCTCATCCCAGGGGCACCAACACAGGAGGCGAGTGGCTGTCCGGAGCCAGGTAGGGTGCCTTCAGACACGCATGACACAGCCTCGGAGAGGGCAGAGGTGTGGAGGCCCAGCTTCCTCGACCACTCTCAGCAAGTCCCCGACTTCCCTAGGCCCTAGAGCTAGCGACCCCACCATTCTCCCAAGCCAGGGCTTCCAGAGGCCCTGTGGAGATCGTCGGGCAGCGACTGGCACTCGTCCTGTCTGCAGTGGGAGTTGTCCTCATCAAAGGCTACATCACTCCCCTCCCTGAGTCTTCTCTGGTCTTGGCGTCCTACCTTGGCAGTGAGTGATGTTCAGTCTCTTGTACCCCTGAGGACACTCTAGCTGGCCATTCTCCATCACTGGGGAGGCTGAGGAGTAAAGACATGGACAGGTCTCACTGAGGGCCCTGGGCTCCTCTGTCACCTGTGCTGCGAAGTGGGTGCCACCTGGACAACCAGCCTACCCAGCAGCAGTGAGCCCAGGCCCCCAAGGTGTCACCCTGGGCAGCTGTGCCTGTTGGCTCTCACCAGACCTTCCCAGCCCACTCCGCTTTTATTAAATATGAGTCCAAGTGAAATAAGACAAGCATAGGGGGACAGATGCTGCATGAGCTCAGTCATTCACAGGATCTCAAAAACAGCCAGCCCCTAGAAGAAGAGCAGAACAGTGGTTATGAGGCTGTTGGGGAGGTGACCCCAGGGAGGAAGTTCAAGGGCTTAGTGTACAAAAGGGGACTGAGGTTAATGTGTACATTAACCTCAGTTAAACTGCTAAGAGAGTAGATTTTACATGTGCTCAACATAAAAAAGTAAGTATGGAAAAAAAAAAAAAAGTAAATATGTGGGGTGATGTATGTTTGGATATTTCACAATGTAGACATAATTCAGAACATCATGTTTACACCATAAATATGCACAATCCTTGTCAATTTAAAAAATCATTTTAAATACTAAGGAAAAAATGATACTGACTATATATAGTTATGATATATGCAGTTAGTATAGACGATACTATATGATGTTATATAACATGGTTGAACAGATTTTATTATTATTTAATTTGGAACAAGTATGATTCACAGGAGAGGTCTGATTGCAGACTGATCAACAAGGAAATGATTCTGAGACCCAACTTGCCTGATTCCACAACATTCCCCCTTACTTTACAGAAAATAAAAAGCCCCATGCAATAGACATTAAGTAAAAATAGGGAACAGATCTCCATTACTTTGGCGGGACAGATCACTGTGTCAACTCCTATGAAAAGCTCTAGCAGGCAGCATAGTACTGACAGCCACCTGTCACTACAAAATAGAGCAGCAAATCAGGAATACCATCTTTTTGTGGAAAAAAACCCCTCATCTTTCAGTCTGATGATTCCTTTGCCAAGAGCTAGTCAGTGGTTCTCAAGGGGTGTGGACAATCTTCCCAGACCTTCCTGAAGGCCAAGTAAGGCCAAGCTGATGAGACAGCACTGTGCCTAAGGGTCTTGCTTTATAAAGTTAGCCATGACTTTCTCGCAATTTCTATTTTTAAGTTTTTAAAATTTATTTTTTAACAGAGACGGTATCTTGCTGTTGCCCAGGCTGGTCTCGAGCTGCTAGCCTCCAGTGATTCTCCTGCCTCAGACTTTAGAATTGCTGGGATTACAGGCCTGAGCCACTCCCCTGGCAATGTGTCTTCTGGCTTGGGCTCCCCTTGTCTCTGAATGCTGCGTCCAGCCCCCTCTGTCTCTGTCATTTCACCCCAGTTCTTTTTCACTCTGACTGTAGCATCAGTGGCTACACCCACAGCGTTGCTAAGGCAAGTGATTTTCATCCAAGAGGTCACTTGCTGTTGAGAATGTCTGGTCACGGCTCATCCTTTGCCGGTTTGCAGGATTGTTCTTCACATGTCTTAGTGTTGAAATGGATTCTTGCAAACACCAAGAAACATGTTAGAAACATCTATACTTCTGTCCAACTGAACAACAGCATTTTAGTGCCTTGGTGGTTACAATGTTTTTCTTTTCATTTTTTCTTTTTTTTTTTTGAGTTGGAGT